GGACTCTTTCACTTTGCGGTGGTTTTAATGTGATACGGATGTGAGACAGTAGTGAAGTTTGCCCTTCTTCCCCCACTTACTGGTTAGAACAGTCTGGTTTTGTGTTTTTCTGCAGAACTGGTGGTGGTTAAGCTGAGTGGCTGTGTAGTTGTGCCTTGTTTTGATGCACTTAGCATGTGCATTTGGGTTCAGTGTGTCAGTTTCAAACTCTGTTTTAATGATTAGGTTCTTCTGGTGTCCTAGTCCTTGAGCAATGTTAAGGACGAGCTAGTGTTCGTATCCCAACTGTTCCAAAACTTCTCAAGATAGTTGCTACTTCAGCCTTGTATCGGTATATAGAGTTAGTGGGTGTAGAGTTCAGTGCTGCCCTGACTGTTACGGAACATTCCTTAAAGGCTTTGTGTTGTTTATTCATCCAGAATTGCCATGGAATGGCTTGGGTTGGAAGGGACTTCATTAGGTTCACAAAGGCTCACTTTCTGAGCTTGCTGAGGTCTCTCTGCATGGCATCCCTTTCCTTCAAGGTGTCAGCCACACCACTCAGCATCATCATTGGTGTCATCAGCAAACTTGCTAAGGGTGCAGTCAAGCCTGCCATTGATGAATGTGGTGAAGAGCACCAGTCCCAAGACAGACCCCTGGGGGACAACAGTCATCTCCAGCCTCCATCTGGATGCAGTGCCGCTTACCACAACCCTCTGTCTACGGCCATCCAACCAGTTCCTTATCCCCCTCAAATCCATCTCTCACCAGATTAGAGTTAAGGGTGTGGTGGGGGAACCACATCAAAGGCCTTGCACAAGTCCAGGTAGATAACACTGATTGCCTTCCCATTGTCCACCAATGTCTTTGCTCCATACCAGAATGCCACCAGATTGATCAGGCATGACCTTTCTTGGTAAAGCTGTGCTGGCTGTCCCAGATCACCCACTCATCCTTCACGTGCTTTAACGTGTCTTGTAGGAGGATCTGTTTCATGATTGTTAGTAGAGTATGTTGAGGGCTGTGCTATTTTCTCTTTTGGTGCTGCTTCTGAAAGTGCTGCAGGCAGATCTATTGCTCCTATTGCTCAAAGTGGAGGAGCTGTGTCTGTACATCTGTTTGTAGATCAGGTAGTAGAAGTGTCCTGTTGCTGTCCATCCTGTTTACAAGGGTAGATGGTGATAGGACAAGGGGGAATAGTTTTAAGGTAAGACAGGGGAGGTTTAGGTTAGATATTAGGAGGAAGTTTTTCACTCAGAGGGTGCTGACGCACTGGAACAGGTTGCCCAAGTAGGCTGTGGGTGCCCCATCCCTGGAGGCATTCAAGGCCAGGCTGGATGTGGCTCTGGGCAGCCTGGTCTGGTGGTTGGTGACCCTGCACATAGCAGGACGCTTGAAACCAGATGATCATTGTGGTCCTTTTCAACCCAGGCCATTCTATGATTCTGTGAAGAGCATCTAAAAACATATGTATACATGTATAAATAGCAAAAATAATAGCATCACAATTTTGATAGCCATAACTAATGTTAATCTCTGATAAAGAAAATACTGTGTCCAGAAATTGGTGTTCCTGTTCTTTCCCTGTGCCGGCATTGTTCCTGGAATCTTTCCTCTCCTGTTTGTGGGGATGTCTTATAACTTTCTGTAGTGCTAAGCAGGCATTTCTATACATGTATAAGGATAAAAATATTGCACGATGGCAGAAGTTGCTCTACTTGGCAGATCAAAGGTAGAAGAGAGAGTGAATGAAGGTGGGGTTGTTGGCTGTAATGGTCCAGCTTTGGCTTTGTAGGTCTTGAGGTGATTAATCTGTTATCTGGAAATGGTGTTGGGGATCAGAGGGAGAGGGGAGTTTGTGAAGAAGAAATGAACGGAGGGATGAGAAAAGAGCAATGAGGGTAAATGTCCTTCAAGATTGTGATCAATGAGTGTTTAATCACTAAAATACAAGGAAGCTGTGAATGTTCTGTGCCTAAAATATATTTAGTGTTTGTTTTCTTGGATGCTTGTCATTGGTTTGTCTTGAAAGGTCTCTGTATTGAAAATCTCTAACTGGAGGGAGAAGCTGGCAGTCAAAAACCAGTTTCAGGCAGTATACTTGGAGGTTTAGATCTCCAGGTAAGATGCTCTTATCTTTTAATTAAAGAATTAGGTAGAATTAGGGGTGATTTAAAGAGGAAAATAAGATAGTCATAGATAAAAGTGAGTTTTTAAAAAAAAAAACAAAAACAAGACAACGCCAGAGGAAATGGAACAATCTCAGCTAGTTGGGAAAAGTATGAAAAGGAATAATTTCCACTAAGGAGAAAAAAAAAAAAAAGTGTATTAAACTTAACATTTAAATATTGTCAGTTTATAGAAATTTTTCCCTTTTTGGAGAATGGTAAAGAAATTTCAAAAGCTATGGAAAGTTCTCTCTTCAAAAGCACAGGGAAATAAATCTGCTGTATTTTGGTTCAAAGAAACCACGTTGTAAGATATTTCAACTTTTAAGCAAATGTATAAATGCACACTATTGTGATGAACCCAAAACATTTTGTGTATTAAATCTTCTTATGACCAGTTTAGAAATTTTCAGTGCTTATCCCAATCATAATGAGGCTAATTGATGTGTTCTTGCATAGGGTTGCAGCTGGTCAAAGCTGAATTGAGCACAGAAGACTTGTTACCACCTCTTGTGTCCCAAGGTCAACCAGTAAGCAGTAGGAAGATGCACCATGAAGACAGATCGTGGGGGATGTGCTTGGGAATTGCTCTCAGTGTAGGAGAGATGAAATAATCCTGTGTTGGGATCATCTCTGCCTGTCTCATGCTCTTCGCAGTGGTAAAGCAAAGGGCTTTTTATCTGTGTTCTAGGGATGCTCTACGACATCAAATCGGTGCAGTGTTTGTGTGCTGAATTTTACATACATGGGTAGTTATACAGAAAATCAGTAGGGTAAGTGGTGGAAAATCTATTCTGCTTGTAGGTGTTTGCGTTATTGATGTCTGAACAATTAACATAATATTTCTCTGGTATTTGTTTGGAGCATTTTTGTTATGCACGAGGAGCTCCCACAGCTGTAACTTGCTATTATTTTAACACATGCTTTAAGGGTACCACTGACGTAATTTCCCTGAGTGTTGGAAGGTCATTTCTATCAGCCTTCGAAGCTAAAAGTAGCTTTTGCCATATCAAAGAAAGTGTTTCTTTAAATAAATCAATAACCGCGTGGATTTCTCAATCTGCCAAGCAGTCTCTTGAGGAATTGCCCTTTTCATAAAGGATGTAAAAGCTTGCCATGATGTCATTCCCATTGTGTTAATCGTTGTGTTCTCACACGTTGTCCCAGATAACGACTGATTCCCCTGCAGTGTTCTGGGGGAAGCTGTCATTTGCTGCTCAGGCTGATAGAGATGATAGGTCAGCTGGCTGCTGGGACCCTCTCAGCAGATCGGGATGGTTTTTAATGTGGCAAAGTTATGCGTTAGAAACAGAGGAAATCTGAGATGTATTTGATGTACTTTGCTCTCCTGCATGTGGGCATTATGCTGTGATACGCATGCACCAATCTGGTCGTACTTCTTATTCCCATAGGGAAGTTACTAAGTTAACTTTTAACATTACACAACAGCTGTGTAATGTAAGGTTAAAATTCAGCCTGAGTTCTGCAAAACAATTTCTGTGTGCTGCTAATGTATGAAGGGTGTAAGGAGAAGGCAGTATGTATTGTGTTCCATTGCTTCACTTACATTCAGACATCTACATTTTTGCGTCTGTTCATTGTAGAATTTGCAAGTGCTTCAGTTTTCTATTTATTGTAGGATCTGGAATGGCCTGGGTTGAAAAGGACCACAGTGATCATCCAGTTCCAACCCCCTGCTATGTGCAGGGTCGCCAACCACCAGACCAGGCTGCCCAGAGCCACATCCAGCCTGGCCTTGAATGCCTCCAGGGATGGGGCATCCACAGCCTCCTTGGGCAACCTGTTCCAGTGTGTCACCACCTTCTGTGTGAAAAACTTCCTCCTAATATCTGACCTAAACCTCCCCTGTCTCAGTTTAAAACCATTCCCCCTTGTTACAGCATAGGTCAGTACTAAAAGAGAGTTCATTCTGGTTGTTTTTATTCTTACCTGAACAAAACTAAGCTACTTGGCACAGGTCCTTTTGGTATTGCTGTTTTTTGGCATGAGTTAACCTCATCAAATTCAGTTCTCATGGAAATCTTCTAGTGGCCTTTGTGTGTGGGAGAAGCAGCTAATGACCCTATGTTCAAAAGGCAAAAAAACTGAAAAACAAACAGGTTTTTTTTTTTGCTCTTTTGCTAGTTTACTCAACTCTGTGTCTTTTCAATTTGGCCAGTTCCTTTAAGGGAGAAACAAACAAATGCAAACCTGTTTTTGGACAGTCTTACATGTGCATTCTGAGCTATATGTGTATGCATTTGTTACACTGACTTGAATGTCCTGTGATGCACATACCCTGAGGAAATAAATGCTTTTCACTGGTTCCTGATAGACACACTTGTTTTCTGGTGTTTCTTTGTTTTTTTCTGTGTTTTTTTTTTTTTTTTAATTTTTTTTTTTTTAAGGGCAGCACTCTTTTTAATTCTAGGCCTGGCTGCTGCTAATGTTTTTGATCACTCATCAGGATTTTCAGCGTTCTTTGAACTGCTCTTGCCATTCAGTGGAAGCTACATCAAAAGTTCATTTCAGAATCCTTTAAGGCTTCCCTGCCCCTCGAAACCATAAAAGAGAAATTTTTAAATTCGTGCTCACAAGACCTGCAAAACTGACAGCAGCTTGCTTTGAAGTGTCTGTTTTCAGTTCATATGTAAGCCCCCTGGCTTCTACTTCTGCTTTTCTGGGGTCTTTTAGCTGATGCCTTGTAAACTGGCGCGTATCTGTTGTCATTCATTCCATTGAAAGATTCTAATCTTCATATAGTGGATATCAGTTGTTTGTATTTTATTTACTTTGGATATTTGACTACTGTAAGAGAATAATCTGATCTGTTTTGAATGTTCATTTCAGATTTCATGTTTCATCTTACATCAAACACTTACTGCTGAGAGCTGGAAGGTCTACTTAAGGTAGGTAGTGATATTTTCCCTTCCTTACTGGATTCTGTTCTAAGTAGAACAGCCCGTACTGATGATGTATTTATTTTGTGCACAAGAGGAACTTAAAAGGTGTCTTCTCACCTACCAAAATGACAGAGCTGGAAACTTGCTGACCAGACTGCCATCCTGGCTTTGGAGCAAAATGTTAGTGGTTTTCTGTCTTTCGAGTTCTTCTTGTACATGCAGTTTGCCTTAGGCAAGGCTTTTGCTGTAGGGGGGCCTGACCTTAAGCTGCGTGCAAGAGTAGAGAGGTTGGGTAATCACAGCATTCTTTGTATTACGGGACTGATTTTGGTTGTTTTGTGATTCCTTGGGAATTTTCTCTCCCAGAGTGAATGGTTTTGTTTGCTGATGCCCACTTATATTCTGTGTATGGATGTTTGGAATGCACTTGAGTGTACCTAGAAGAATTTGAGGGATCCATTTTTATTTTATTGTTCTGACTTAGCTTGCTTTCCTCCTACACTGTTAGTGGTGGCTGGTTTGTGAGCATGTATTACGTGATATTCTTCTCTAGGCATTGGCTTTAACCTGTAACAGAATGAATCTCTTGCCTCTTCAATAGTACTTCTGCATGTAGCTTGCTGGTATGGAGAAACCTGAAAACTTGTGTATCACCTGCTTTAGGTTAATATTCTCCTTGCCTGGATTGTAGTAAGCTTGGTAACAGCAGATGTGACTGCTTGTGTTGTGCAAGGACTAGATCCCCAGTGGGATTTCAGCCTGTTATGTTGTACTTTAGCTTTGGTGCACTGAAATGAAAAGCTTGATGGGATCTGTCCATATTTTCTCCTTCAGGAGTCAACAAAGGATCACTTAATGCCTCATGACTGCCTACGTTTGTAGGGCCAGGTGTCTTTTTGGCATAATTTCTTATTCTATGCATGGTCTGGATGTTGGCCTTTCTTAAATTTTCAGTTTTATAGTAATTGCTTCTACTTTCTGATTCATTTATTCCCTTTTTCTGGTTTGGGGTGCTTGTTGAACAAGTAGTAGATGGAAATCCTTGGGGAGAATAAAACTTTGACCACTCCAAGGAATGAATTGAATGCCTTAAAAAATGGTTGTCTTTGGTTTTGTCAGCTGAACTGGAGAAATCTGAAGTACTTCTGTTAGAACAAAAAGCGTAATTACTGCTATTTTTATCAGTTAAGACCAAAATTTGTTGCCTTACATGTTACATTGAATTCCATTTCAGATGGAATAACAGAGGTGGTATTTTGGCTTTTTTAACAAGGAATATTGCTGTATGGTAACTAGGCAAAGTAAAGAGGAGGAGGGTTAGAACAGGGCATCCCTTCTGCAGTTCTTTATATAAAGGCCTACAAATGAAACCTGTGGTTTCAGGTTTTTTACATTTCCTCTTTTAGTTTGACCTTTTAAAAAGAGCAGCTACTGCTGGTGAAGTCATAGGCAAAAAGCACACTTGTATGTTTTGTGAGCTGAGTTTGTTTGGTCTTTGGAATACATAGTTTGTAAAAGGCAGAAGTGAGTCATATCCTGGTAGAAGCACGACAACGGAGTATTGATGGGTTTGTTAGGTAAATAACTTGCAGTGCCTTCCCAGATAAGACAGTATGGAAAAGCAGCCCTGTGAATAACAAGGTTTTGAAATAAAAGGGGCAAAGTAAAAAGAAACAGCAAAATACATTAAGTGCGAATTGCAGGAACTTCCAATTTGTCAGGTTAATGTTGAAATGTGGGTTATTTTTTGGCTGGGGATTTGTTAGGAGGAAAAGATTAGTGCTGCTTACTCTGATTGATATTACGTATGCAAATACCAGAATGACAGTTCCAGTGGAAATGGAGGGAAGAAAAAAAAAATATGTGCTGAGTCTCTTGCTGTGCTAAGAGACCATTATTGTAAATTATATATTCAAATTGCCAGGATTTGAGCTCTTATGTGTACTGTGATGGTCTTTTCATTACACAATCACGTGTCTTGTTCCACAAAACCAGAACCTCATTGGGTACCGAAAACATTTCTCTATTCACTGCGCTCTTCGAGCCTTTCTGTTGCAGAATGGATTTTTCCTGTTGAGTTTGCAGATAGTGTCTGCTTTGGCCTCTTACCTTACATTAATATTTGTATCTGTAGTGGATAAATGGCAGAATTTAGGATCAAATGATTACATTTCAGACCTCTACTCACACAAGCCATTTTCTTGTTGTAGTAGCACTTAAAACATTTGCATTCGAAGCAAACCTCTCACTAATTTGAATAGCACCTGAAAGTACTTGGCAGTTCTCTGTTTAACCCCCAGGGTATCAAGGCATGTGTCCATGAAAGAGAAACACATGGTTGATTGTGCAGAGCTTAACTAAATCGCTCTGTTAACATCATCCAGCAACCCTGAATGCGTAGATGACACTGATTGCTTCAGTTCATAAAGTATTCTTTGTCTTCTCCCTGATGCTGAGTATTTATTTATTAACAGATGCAGAATAAGGTGGGACTGTGAGCAACCATTGAGCTTTATGACTGTAGGTAATGGCATGGGCATATGTTGGTGTGTAAAGAGGGACACCGTGGGCAGTAGGTGGTGCTTGCACTTCCACCATGAAGCTTTACCCAAAAAAACCCCCTGTTCTCCTAATTATGTCCCTACTGGTGATACTGAATGCTTTGCAACATCCTGGTTTTATTTTTAATTTGAATGGAATTAAACCAGTATCTGACAAGCAGACTTGCTGTATTAAACACGTTACTCATTCAAAAACTGTCAGATCAATGAATTAGAATTCTTATTTCTTAAAGTAAGAAGTGTTTGCTTCAAGCCATTAGCACTGGTGTGCTTATAGCTCCTCCTGGCTTCTGGAAGTGGGATTTTGTTGGATTTGTATCTGGTTTATTCTTCTGGACTTCCAAGGCATTGGACATTTATTTTTCCACCAAGCTTATGGTAACTTTAAACTCTTCCAGGCAGGCTGGGCTCACAAGTGAGTGAGTTCATGGGCAGTTCAGTGCAGAATGTGCTCTTCTCTCTGGCTGGGTTCCTGCTGTGCTGTATCTGTATTGGCAGATGTCACCACAGCATTCATTATGCACGGTTTTAAAAGCAATGAACTTGAGTTAAACAAACGCAGTCTGTGCCATGTGATGCTTAATGCCTTCCTGAGCTCTCTGTTCTGGCCTTTGCTCAGGATAGCTGTTGTTCATGAGGTTGCCCCCAGAGCAATTGTTTTTTTTTTTTACATAGAAATAAGTGGGCTGGGAGGAAATAAATTTAAGTACTTTCTCCTTAGTTGTCTCAACCCTCAGTGGAGTTTAATGCAGCCTGTCTGGGTTGTCTGGGAATATGTAAAGGAGGCAGAGTGAAGCAGAGGTTTGTACCTTCCATCTGGAGGTGCTAGGAGGTTTCTGTGCACCAAAATAAATCAGTTGTTTTACTGCTAGCCCTTCTGGTAACTGTAAGTAGGGAAGTATAAAGCAGTAAGTAATGCTTGTGAACCTATAGGTTGTATTCCTTTGCAGTGCAGTTTAGATGGATCTGTAGAATTGTATTCTAACCATGTAATGCTGCTGTTAAAATTTCCGGACTGCTTTAATTTGAGAATTGCAGATTTCTGACTTGGCTAAACACCCATTTCAGCTCAGAAATGCTGAGACCTACTCATATAGAAAACGATTCTTCATGGCTTGGGGCAATCAATTTTCTCACCATCCCAGCCCTGCAAGTACGTACCTGTTGGAATCAGGGTATTGACCTACTCAAATCAGGAAGAGTATCTCAAGTGCAGCGTGCCTGCACATGTTTTCCAGAGTGATGACTGTGGTGCTTAGCTGTTATGGTGATAGGCTCTTATTTGTACTTGTAATAACGTGGGTTGCATCCACCTTCGATGTTTTAAAAGGCAAATACTTCTGGTTCCTTATGGTTGTTCTGCTCCACCCTCCTGCTGTATTTTTCGCTTCTCTAAAAATAGACATACTGCTCTTACGGCTGCAGAGTTATATTTGCAGTCAAGTTTGCTGTGAGAACACTTCACTTACCTGGCTAGTAAGGTGTAATTGGCCTTGGTCATGTTTTGCTTAATGGATTAGAAGCTGTAATGCCTGTTACTTGCTGCAGGAAGTGCACAAGGCTCTGTAACACTGGTCAAGGAAAGCTGCTGAAATTCCGATTTCTTCCCTCAGCCCAGTCTTATACAAAAAAACCCCCAATGACCATGACAGTGGTGTGCTTTACATTCCAGAATATCTGAGTTTTGGGCACGTAGTAGGTCAGAGAATCACAGAATGGCCTGGGTTGAAAAGGACCACAATGATCATCCAGTTCCAACCCCCTGCTATGTGCAGGGTTGCCAACCACCAGACCAGGCTGCCCAGAGCCACATCCAGCCTGGCCTTGAATGCCTCCAGGGATGGGGCACCCACAGCCTCCTTGGGCAACCTGTTCCAATGCGTCAGCACCCTCTGAGTGAAAAACTTCCTCCTAATATCTAACCTAAACCTCTCCTGTCTCAGTTTAAAACCATTCCCCCTTGTCCTATCTCTCTCCACCCTCGTAAAAAAGATCAGCTCAGAATCAGCCTTTGAGTGCATGTTGATGTGTGTTAACTGGATTCTTGTAAACCGAATGCTTGAAGAGGATTTCTGCAGAGCATCAAGAAGACCAAAATTCAAACCATACCATAGTATTTCTAAGGCTTGAAAATTCCTGTTTTTACTTGTAAACCTTCCTGTTATCTTTTCTAATGACTTTTGTTACTGATTTTGTTATCTTGAGTTGTACTTGAGCGATAATGAGTGCCCTCATGCTACAGGCTTCGCCTGCTAAATATAAGGAGGAGAAAACCAGTGGACACAAAACCATACTGACAATCACAAAATCCTGGAATTGTCTTGCCAGTGATTGCATTTTGCATGTGTGTGTTTGGCTACTCCTGCCTTGGTGTAAAACTGATGGAAAATCGTATGATAAAGTTGTACTGGTTGTTCTAATGCTTCTTTCCTTCTCATCTGCCTA